GACATCAAGATAACCTTTATCCCCATACAGGTCAAAGTGAAAAACACAAGCTAAAATACTCTATAAATATAAAGAAGTGTCTAGATAGATAGTTGGATATAGTATATAATTAAAAGGATTAAAGAAAACAAAACATCCCAATTCGATTTCGGTGTCAATTGTTCTGATTTCGATTTGAATTGGAATTGGGGGACGAAATGGGCGCTATATTTGAGATGGAGCGGGGTTGGTAGGAAATTCTGATTAATTTGTCCCAATTTAATCCGATCTATCAATCTGGGTGAAATTTAATTATTTTTTAAAAAATAAAATAGGTGTTGGAGATAGGGGACAAGACATCGTCATTTGATTTTGCTATTAATTGTCCGGGGAATAAAAAGCTGAAATCCTTACTAAATAAAGGAGTGTCAATAGGGGTGTAGTATTATCTAATTTGATTCATGCTTATTGTGCACAATTGAATGAATTTGCGATCATGATTGGGCGTTAATGATGTTCATCAATAATAACAGAAGCAATTTTTTCACCAACAACCCACACATATTTCTAGAGTTTCTCAATAAGATGTGGTCAAATGATGAGCTAAAATAGAGGGAGGATGATAAGACAAATCCTCTTTTAAGAAATTCTATTGTGTATATCTAGTAAATTATATTGATAGTGTAATAAAAAATATCTCAAACATATGAGAAATGACTTTTAAGAACCATCCATCATCTAATAAAAAAATACATCCAACCTAATTATTTGACTCAAGAATATCCGTAAAACTCAAGAATACCCGTAAAACTAACATCCCAAATCTGATGATTTGATTTTCTGTTTTTTTCAATTTTAAATAGTCATGTGGTTTATTAGGATTAGTCACACATATTATTTAATTTATAAATTAATTCCCCCAACATTAAAATTCAAATCACCGTTGGCATGTTTCTTGAATATATTTTTCTCTTTTTTGAGAGTCAATTTGACTTATACTTAAAACTAAATTGAATTAAATTAACTTAGGGTGTTATTTGATAGTCGGTGAAAAAACAATTTATTGTGTATAAATTTTTTTATAAGTTATACAATATTGGTTGGCTAGTTAGAAAATATGTTACTATGTATAAGATTAATAGGATTTTTATTTAGCAATTTAGAAACTCGTGTAACTAATACATGTATAGGTTGTAAGAAAGTAAAGTCTTATCTTATACGGGATTAAAGATAAATAACTAATGTCTGCAATTCTAACCGGCTACTGAGATCATGACCAGTTTGGACATGTCATACGGAAAAAAAAAATCATCCCAAACAAAAATTGAATTCGTACACTAACTCACACGAGCTTAGTAGCTACTTCCTCACTCTCAAGAATATTTCCATAACAGAACAAGTGAAGAAAACTTCACAAAGAGCTTGAAAGAGAGTAGCTACCTCTTTACTCCCAAAAAAATTTCCCACCATTTCCATTGCAGAGTAAGAGAGAGTTTGACAAAGAACTTGAGAGAGTGGGCTTAAGAGTGTATATGTTTACGTTTTCCCTTCCAGCCCAAAGAAGGTAAGCTTTTTGTTTTATATGTTGTTTTGTGTGTATGTATATGCTTTATTTCATATTTCTAGCAACTTTTTCAGGTTCTTATATTTTTTTGTTTGTTTAAGATCTAGTTTTTTTTTAAAAAATCTAGTTTTTTATTCTTAAAGGAAGAAAGAAAAAAAAAGCCCTTAATCTCCCTTTGCTCTATCCAAAAATAGCACATTTCCATTTTTGTTGTTAATCTCTATTAATTTCCTTTTGTTTGTAAAATAGAGTTATATAGATAATCAAGTGACTATGACTATGACATCTAACGAGTTCTAATACTTTTATGTTTTTGTTATGTTATAGTTGCTTATAATATCGACATTAACATTACTAAATGCATGTGTTATAATTTATGAAATAGGTGTTAAATTTGGAAGATAGAAACATGCTTCTACCCTATATTCGAGATTAGGGTCGGATGAGTAATACATAAAGAAAACATTATAACTATGTGATTCTAATCTATATTGTTGGCTGCTAACACACAATTTTTCTTTCTTGTTTCATTTTTTTTACTAAAGATGCTTGTTATTCATATAGGAGTGATGAAACAGTTCAACGTTAGTTATTTTTAGCATAATATACTTAAAAGACATTCAACATTAATTTCACGGGAAAAATTATTATTTATAAAAGTAGAATTAATTCTAGATAATAAGTTGTTATTGGTTTATATTATATTATTTTGGTTGTTGTTGTAAAAAAATTATTTATTAATATGAAGATTTTAGTTGTTTAATTCAAAGTTCCAACGTATTCTTAATAAAAAATATAATAATAAATTTGTTATGTTTCTTTTTAAATTTAAATTTTGTATCTTCTTTCTTTTATAATTTTTGATATTGTTTCAAGTGAAATATAAATCATCAAATCATATTTAGTATTAAATATGCACATACATATTAAAATTCACTATTAAATACAAGGATACATTTGATTAGATACATGTACTCTCCTTATTTGATTAATATATTTGTGAATATATAAAGAAGTGTGTAGAGGGATATAGTAAGTTATTAAGAGTTTTAAAAAAAGACAAAATGGCCCGATTTGAATCCGATGTTAATTGTCCTAAAATCTGTTTGAACTAGAATTGGGGAACAAAATGGGTGCGACATTAGAGATGGAGTGGGGTTGATAGAAAATCCCGACTGATTTATTGCAATTACCCTCCATGAATCGGATGGTACGATCTCATCATCACCTTTTGACCCATACCTCGAGGTAGAGGAAAAGGGAAAACATAAATTCATTAGGCAAGAGAAATTTATGGATGTAGCCAACAAGTGAAAACAACTTTAGTGATTATACACGACATTGCAAACAGAATAGCAACTCAAATGTGCATAATTCTGGTGATATTGTAATTCTTCTTTTGCCCGAATGCGCCAACCTGATAATTGGACATACAAAATATGTTAGTCGTCAACGCTGGAAGTGTAATTATAAAATCAGATAAATGATCAGTTTAGTCATCTAAGCAAATTACCATCTACACTGATTTTTCATCCCTTTATAAGTTGAGCAGAAGCAGTTAGCACAAATATCTAAGCTTAATAGATCGAAATAAATAGAAGCCAACTTCTCATGCATCAAATACAATACCTATAAGAAATTCAAGAGGGTCTCCTTTTCCAAAATTATCCTTCCATTATGAGTTACCAAACAAGAATGGCCAAAAGTTTGCTTCATTTTTTAATATGAAAAAACGCGTAAAAGAACGTTACTTTCGATAATTATTTTGGTCATTTTGCTGGAGAAAAAACACCACATCCGAACCACTTGCACTAAAAGATAGATTCAATTAATAGTATTTTGTTATAGATTTTGCAAATTGTTGATCTGGATTGTCGAAATCAACAAGTCAAGTGAAAATATATTCATTCAATAAAATATGAAACATCTCACAAAACAATATTCACCATTGATTTCTGCAATACTTTATAAAACATAGTTAAAATGTCCCAAAAGCAAACTTGAGAGGAGGAGCAAACAATGAAGTTGTAAAATCAACATCTAAAATTTCACTCATCGTGCTAACTTGTTTCACTTCAAGAGAAGTCTACAACTACGATTTTAAGATTCTACAAAAGAAAAATAGTGTCCCTACGTGAACTCACAATCAACTAATATATATCAGATCCACTTCAATTATCAGCCATGAATCACGTGGCACGTCATCAAGATAACCTTTATCTCCATACATGTATGTCAAAGTGAAAAACACAACAATAAATACTCGATAAATATAAAGAAGTGTCTAGATGGATAGTTGGATATAGTATATAATTAAAAGGGTTAAAGAAAACAAAACATCCCAATTCGATTTCGGTGTTAATTGTTTTGATTTCGATTTGAACTGGAATTGGAGGACGAAATGGGTGCGGTATTTGAGATGGAGCGGGATTGGTAGGAAATTCTGATTAATTTGTCCCAATTTAATCTATCGATCAATCTGGGTGAAATTTAATTATTTTAAAAAAAATAAAATAGGTGTTGGAGATCGGGGACAAGATATCCTGATTTGATTTTTCTATTAATTGTCCATGGGAGAAAAAGCTGAAATCCTTACTAAATAAAGGAGTGTCAATAGGGGTGTAGTATTATCTAATTTGATTCGTGCTTATTGTGCATAATTGAATGAATTTGCGATCATGATTGGGCGTTAATGATGTTCTTCAATAATAATAGAAGCAATTTTTTCACCAACAATCCACACAATGATTTTATCGATTTCATGCCACACCAATGCTTGAAAAGTCTTAATTGCATCATCTAAGAAAGATAAAATGAAAAGAAAATATTAAGGAAAATTAACATAAAATGAGTTTTTTCATTGTTATCTGACCATGAATCTAAACGATATGATATAATAGAATTTAAATAACAATCAAAACAAACATTGTATTTAAACTAAAAATAAATACAATAAAATAAAATACAACATGTAACAACGTCGATACAAACAAGGTGTTATTAGTCTTGCCTTCATATAGTTTACACTCAAATTATATTTATTTTTTTAAATTACTACTACTTTTGGCATAATTTTGAATTTCGAGAGTCAAACTTTTCTTTTTTTAGTTTTGATTGTGAATTTGGATTTTAGACATTGAAATTTTTTAAAAATAAAATTTACATATTTAAAAAATTACTTAAAATATATTATAACTTATAATAAGTGAAAATTTAAAATAATTAAAATATATATAAAAAATAATTTCGAGATAACTCCTTTCGAATATCAGAAAAGTATCGCAAAAATTAAGATTGAAGGAGTACTAATGTAGTATATTGTCATAATATATATAATAATTATATTTTCGGTTAAAATGATCATGAAGGCTAACTAAGCAAAATTAAAATAACTTTTGAAAGACAAAATAAAGATAACTATCTCAAAAATGACATGATAATATTGTACACATCGATACATAAAACTTAAATTCTTTTTATTCCATCATAAAATCATTATTATACATCAATTACATTACAATGACATTTGACCTCAACCTTGGCTCAAAAAAAGTGCTTGAGCATTCTCATCACTACAATAGAGACAAGGATGTTGAGTCTTAATATGTTCATCATTTTCCAAAACGTACCTAGACTTCATCACCAACTCTTTATAACTAATAGGGCCACAATTTTTCTCCAACACAAGTAAAATTGCATGACTAAATGCCCCATAAGCTTGATTTTCATTTTCAATTCCTCCAACATCTTGACATTCTTCATTAGCTTGACATCCACTTAACAAAATACCCTCATCTTGTTTAAGTGGCTTCAATAAATCTAACTCCAATTGAGGCAAAGAAAACATAACACTAGCATCATTTCCAAAGAGTTGTAACATGTGTGTTCCAATATTTGAGCTGTTTATGTTTGTTAAGGATGTTAGATGTTCCAAGATTGTTTCATGAGGGATGAATTTAGACTTGGAATAATAACATTTTGATGCTGACTCTGACTTGTTTGGGACTGAGACGTAGTTATTGCTGTTTTTTTCGAATTCTTGATTTTTTGGTTTGTGGTGAGATGGTCCAATTTGCTCTTTTTCTTTGTCAATTAGGCCTCCACTATGGCAAGAATCTGAAAGGATAGTGAATGTTGCTCCTTGTGGTACTCGATTCACTATTTTTCGAATATCCACATCTGCCAAATAAATTTTTTAATTAATTTAAAGGTTATTAAGAACTTAAAGATATGTAATAATAATATAAAATATAAACATATGTTTTTTACAAAGAATAATTGAGTCATTAGAAAATGATGGTTTCAATGAGTAGATGATTTGGACTCTCCTAAGAGGCTATAGCTAAATTAGCTTTCGTCCCGTTATACAAGTTGATTTCTCAAATGATTATTCAGTTTATTACAATAATTTCATGTGACAAAGATAATTTATCTAGTTTTATGACTTTTCTCCGATAAATCGTAATTCCTACTTATGAAATTTTACTAGATATATTTGTTGTTGTTTGCAATAAATCGTAAGTTCAATGTCGTACATCACTTAAGTTTTTAGGGCTAAGATGACATAATCAACATGACTATTTTTTTATTTAATTTGACATGCTTAATTTTTTATGTTGGGCGAGCACAGGAAGTCTAGTAAATAGTAATATCTGAGTTGATTGATTAGACAACAATTACTTACTTATTATTTTAGTATTAGCCCCTTATATATCTCGCTAGAAAGAACATTTTCTAACATGCTGACTTAGGAAAAGTTTAGTTATTTTGAAGTGGCAAAAATTAATTTTATAACTGATTATTCGAGAAATCAACCCCTTAACAAATGCTTCTCTAGAAGGCAAAAATACTATATTTCATAAACTTTAATTTATACCTAAGATTAAATAAGATAAAACAAACTTACTAGTAATATAATTGAAATCAAGTGAAATTATTGCTTCTTCTTGATTCTTTTTTCCAGTCAATGTTCCATGCCCACTAAAATGAAAATACAAAATATCTCCTTGTTCAGCTTCATCAACCATTTTATTAAGTGCTTTCTTGATATTAATTCCAGTAGGCATAATAGGACTGCCTGATTTATCCATGAGCAATTCAATGTGCTGTGAATCGAACCCGAATCGATTCACTAGCACATCTCTCATGGCTAAAACATCGTTGTGACATCCATGTAATCTGTACCAGCAACAAAGTCAGAAATTTCGTTAAACTATTCAAAGTTTAGTATATAGGTAGCAAAAGTCAATATTTATCTACATATATCAGTGGTAGAGCTAGAAATTCAAATAAGAGATTATTTATGCCGAAAAAATTATTATTTTTTACATATACCAATAATTTTTCAATGAAGGAGGTTCAACTTGCACCCCTATGGGCTATGTCTATGCTCTTGACATATACAATATAATTTTCTATAAACTCGATAGTGTTTTTTTACGAAGGATGTTCAACTGACCGACTCTTCATATAGACTACGTCACGACTAACCTGTAAGGTGTATTTTCGTAGTTGCAACCAACTAGAACTGCTAATTTTTTACCAACTTTTTCCATTTTTTTCAAAAAATAAATGAATGTAAGATTTCTCTTTGTTTGTATATATTTATCAATGTTGAAGTGTTTTTAATTTGTGGTTTAATTTAATTGGAGTTCAAATTTATAGAGAATGTTTTATTTGTTATTGCTTGTAAGTTTCATTTCTTGAAGTCATTACTAATTGCTTATAAGGTACCATTGTTGAGTTTTTACTTTAAGAAATTAGAGGAATTAAGCAAATATTATTTTGTTCACACAATTAATTTTTCTCTTTTTTTCCTCTTTTAAATTAAAGGTTTTGTAGGATATGAAAAAAAAAATAGTTTTATTTTGATTGGCGCACGCAATGATAAAAGATGTTTCCTCGATTATCGCGAGTTCAAGCTTTGAAATCTACCTCACGCACAATGAGAGATATTAACGCAGCCTTTAAGTAATCTAAACCTATCGAAAGAGAGTCGTGGCAAAAGTTGTTGTTTTTGTGCCTAACCAAAAAATTACGGGTTCAAGCTGCGAAAACTAAATTACCTCTGATATAAATATAAAGTAAAATTACGTACAATAGACACATTATGATCCGACTAATAAAAGTGTGCCAATTAGGATAAAGTGAGTTTTTTTTTTTTGATGGGGACATGAAACTGCATGTTTTCTTACACGTAACATCTAAATCAATTAGAGAAATTTCTTAGAAATCACTTTAGTAAGCAGCAATTTCATATATAGTATTAATTAAAACCTCTTATTAGTGGTTTGATTTGATGTGTAAGCATCATATGGTATTTACGTGACACAAAATTATTTTATTTAGTTTTTGGCTTCTAAGGTTTGATATGGAAATGTGTTACTTCAAAGCAAAGAAATACATATGGGGAGCTACCAATGGTGGAATCGACGAGTCGTAAGTACTTATTCATCTTTAATCATAGGTCTCAGATTCGCCTTGGTTAGGAAGTGTTTTATCCCAATGTAGGACTTTTCGATGCAAATCTAAATTTAATTGGGTTCCTATGTAGATACTAACAAGTATTGTGGTGGAGTCGTAAGTACTCTTTCTTTCATCCTTAACAATCTTGGGTTTGAACCCCTACAGAGTCGCCTTTGTTAGGAAGTGTTTCCCCTAATGGCGCGAATTCAAATTTAATCAAGCTCCAACATGGATACTGAACGACAAATGTGAAACCAAAAAAAATACACATGGAGAGCCCGTGACGTTATTCAAAGGCTCCAATTAGGAAGTTAGGAAATGAGTTCTCATATTGGTCAGACTCGTAATTCACTTCTGATTTTGTATACCGGTCATAGTAACGTTAATTGTAGTTACATTCATAAGTAGTCTGGTCCATCGTAACATTATGATTTTAAAAAAAATACCGCCAGAACGACGTAAATCATTAGATAATTGTCAAGAGTAGTCTTATTTGTGTCCATAGGAGTATAGCACAAGTTTCTAGCTTGATTCTTCAAATGCTACACATAGATTATAAGATTTTTTTAGCACACATATATGATAGGATGAAATCTGGAGTTCGTCTCGACGTCCTCTTAGCCAGGTGGCCAGTTCATCTGTCGTCCCCCGAGAAGATGAAGGTGAAGATGGTAAACAGATTGGCCTGAAAACAACAATCTTCGAGTTAATATACATTTAAAATGGAACTACGATAACTGGAAACAACGGGAGCAAAGAAGTTACATACATCCATCAGGCCCATCGTTGATCACGAGTCTGAATCCATTCTCTAGAAGACCTTCCTGTTTGGCTACAAGCTTTGCTGTGTAGAGAAGTCGACCAAGAACATCACAGTTCTTTTCTTCAGCCTGAAAATAGAAACTCAAAACGAGAGGTTTCCATATTATAAAGCAGCATAGAGCCAATAGTACTCAAATCTTTCAAGAGATTCCCAGTTATGAAGGACGAAGGACATTGTTCTACGTACTCTAGACAAGTGTTCGTTCAGGAAACCAAAATATGTTATTCTCTATTCTCAAAAAATAAACTAGTGAGCGAAAAGAAAGACGAAAGAATGAAAGAAGATCAACCCCTCAAGCCACTAAATAGTAGCTTCACGGAATGCTGAGTGTCTTAACCAGCTCGGTTCTAAAGCTAAGTTCTAAAATCTTGTATCTCCTTTTTCTCGTCTTCATTACTATTTACTTCATTTGATCAGGCAAACCAAGGATCATATTAAAGAGCAGTATGTGAAATAAGTAAACATTTAGACTTCAAACCAACAAGTTTGGTGAAGCAATTGCTTCAACGCATCACCAATTCATGACTCGTATATTCTTTAGCAAAGGCAGTGCTTCATTGCGGTTCTTGTGTGCAGGCTATCAACAAATGAGCGACATACTAACAAATTGTGTATTAATAAGAGAGAACTTCTCAACTCCATCTTATGATTTGGGACCAAAAACCCCAAATTAGTCAGCAAATGAGTGACAAAGGATACAACATACCCGGTATAGTCCCCCACCGAGAACACATGATAAAAACTGCGTACATTGTACAGAGCAAGAAACAAGAAGTAAAAAATGAACGAACACAGAAAGAAACAGCTGATTTACAATAAAACACACAAACAAATAAACATGGAAAAACTCCCTAGTCCCTACACCTAGAGTAGCTCCATGGAGTGCTGTGATGAGCTAAAGCTTGTTTCTAATTTTTTGTTCTTTTTAATTCCATTTCTAACACTTTGTTTGATCAGAGATAGCGAGGATCGTTTTATTAAAGTGCAATCACATAAACCAAAGTACACCTCAAAGCAAATTAAATAACCAAAGATGGGCTCAAGTGTCATCATTTTTTTACTTCACTAAAATCACTACACCTCATATATTCTGAAGCACAAATACAGGACTTGCTGTGCCTCTAGTGTGCAACGTTTTAACAGCTATGAGCTCGTACGAAAAAAAATACCTTGGAAAGTCCGGTTAAGCCATCCCTGACCTTGGGAATAAGCAAAATGTGCACAGGAGCTTGGGGATTTATGTCTCTGAAAGCTAAAACCTGGCAAGAAAATGACAGAACCAAATATGAAATTCATTAAACATCAAAAGAATCAGCTGACACGAAAGCTTAAAGACTTGGGCATATTGATGCACGATTTCAAAATACACATACCATAAGCAGTGGATAAAGTACTGACAGCGCCCTAAAAAAGCAAATCATGATTCGTCGAGCACCTCTTACTACTCAAAAATACCACCGAAACACTATCCTTATTCGCAGAACCGCTTTTTGTATGATAACCATCTGTCACTTACTTTTGAACCTAACCAAAAAAAAACAAGTGGTGTCCACTCCTACTTCTATTCTGCAAGACACCTACATTTTCCATTTTTCTACGAACAAGCACTTCTCTTTCGTGGTAAAAATTGAGTAGTTGGAAGATCATACATAGATTCTTCACGTGCTCCTCCGGGGTATTACTATACAGGTACCAAAACGCACAACAGCATACCCAGTGTAAAATCCCACAACTGAGGTTTGCAGAGGGCGGTGCAACCACAGCCTTACCCCTACCTCATGAAGGTAGAAAGGGCGTTTCCAATAGACCCTCAACTCAAGTAAAACATATAAAAAACAAATAAACAAACCAAATACAGTAGCAAAGAAGTCACGCTGAAAACAACGAAAAAGAGAACAATAGCAACGCCAAAAAAAACATGATAATCAAAGCAAATCAAACATCAGGTAAAACCAAAACACTTAAACACAACGAAAAATTCCAGTACAAAACATTCTCCTCCAAACCAATCTCACCCAAATACACAAAAACAAACAAATACAGGACAAAAAATTAAACACATAACAAGCACACATACCTTGTCATCCTCAAATACAATATCTGCTGGGATTTCCTTGTTAATGATCTTGTCAAATCTGAAAATCAAGATTCAATTTTTAAGAAACCCCATTACAAAAACAGAGCTAATTACACATAAAATTGAAAAATAGACAGAAAAATGCATACATAGTAGGAGAATCTGACTGAAAATCAAGAATCAATTTTTAAGAACCCCCATTACAAAAACAGAGCTAATTAAACATAAAATTGAAAGATAGACAGAAAAATGCATACATGGTAGAAGAATCTGACTGAAAATCAAGAATCAATTTTTAAGAAAACCCCAACATAAAAACAGAGATAATTAAACATTAAACTGAAAAATATGAGGAGAAATGCATACATGGTAGGAGAATCTGAAGGAACAGCAAGAAGAGCAGCTTCTTTCTCAGAAGCCATGGCTGACTTCTTCTGATGAGTGAAGTGTGAAGTGAGTATTTGGAGTCTGCTCCTATTGGGGTTTTCTTCACTCATATTGTTGGTAACTACTTTATTGCTTTGTGGGTATAACAACTTATATTAGACAACAGATTAGTACTATAAGTTTCTCATAATTATGATTAGATATACCAAGTTTTTGTTTGTACAATACAAGAAAATATTATCCTGGAAAATAGTATGTGCAGATGTAGATGTAGATGAAGATGATGTGTGTAAAAAATTATCATCAATGTCGAATAACACTTAAGAAACTTATTTTTCAACATCCTTGATGAATTATTTTTAAAGAATTTCTTTTTGCGTAAAATATATTTTTCAACAAAAAAATTGATTAATTGAACATATGAAAATGTTTTCATCCACAAATTGATACCTTTGACCTTTCAACATATACTAGTAGAGGGGACACACATATTTTTATGGAAATTTAATTTAATATGTGATTTTAGTGTGAATAATTTCACTTAACTTATTTATTTTATAAAAAATCAACCTTTCTTACTGATCAACTAAACATTTGGCCTAACACTTCATTAGTATCGATAAATAGTTATTTATTCTTAGTTAGAGATTTTGAATTTAAATTTTGTTGATATACTAGGTGAAAAGAATATTGCAACATGTGAAGATATTTGGATATTGATGAGTTTGTTTGATGTTTGTAAATATTATATACAATACTAGGACTTAGAATCTAGTAGCTCATTGATCAAAAGTAGAAGTAATTTGGAAAAACAAAACTTTGTATTTCTATTATATCAAGAGCTAGATTATTAGCGATGAATTCGAATAAACTTAGTAATTTTTAATTGGACCATATATTTATATTAGAAATTTGATAATTAAGATGAGTTGTGAATTCAATGACAAGTTCACAATCGATAAGCTATAAATTTTGTATTCACCTTCAATTATATTGTGTGTTGAGTCCACCTCCTGAAATCATATGTATAACATATAACTACATTAATATGGGGTGGAAATTAAAAAAAGTTCATCATATTATGACGATTAAAGTTTGCATACAAAATATCCCATGCATCTTCGAGAGGATATCTAAGTTGTGAAAATCAAAAAATTCATCAACTCATAAATCTCCTAAACTAGTATTTACGATCATATACTACATATCCTTTAGAATAATTTTCTCATGGATTTACTTGCTTTACCAATATTGGGCTGGGATATCATGATGAAACTTCCTTAATTGACTAAACCCATTTGAAAAAAATTCTTGTTTTCTCTTTATGGGCTAGTGGGCCAAATAATACATTAGATCTTGCATTTCATGAGTCCCCCACATTTTAAAGTTTAATTAAGGTTTTAAGATATATATGATATACGAGAGTTAAACTGTCATGTCATTCAAAAAGATATTTAGAAAAAACATTTTAAATAGTGATTTTGTAATCTTGAAAAAGAAAATAGATTATCTATTATAACAAGTAAATATAATATGATAATGTAAAAAAAATCTTACTTTCACATTTATAATCTAGGACGATAAATGACATGTAAATTCCACCATAAGTTGTATAATGTAAATCTTATATACACTGTCAATATTGTATCACAATAGGACATGTTACTTGGTATAATAAGTAGATGTGAATTGATAGTGTAAAAATTTTTACACACTAACGATTGATGTACGATCAAACTTTTATATAATGTTGTTATATTTCTGGATATTCTTTTAATTGCTATATTATAATACTATCATTGAGAAGATATAATAGTAATTTTATGAGAATTTTTTTTTTTTACACAAGAGAGATATAGAAAAGGTCATTTTAAAAGTTCAATTTAATTCTACATGGCTATAAAACATCATTTCCTTAATATAACATAATATAATATAACACAACACGATAGATCAGTTAAAAAACATTTTTATTATAATATAACTTTGTTTGTCAAATATTTTCAATTACTTCATTACTCTCAAGACAAGAATCATATACCCTTAATATAAAAATCTATACAAAAAAAGAAACCTTGTGTTATTGTGTACGATCACATTATAATAAACCAAACAAGAATTAGGTAAATTATAAAAGAACACCTCATCCCTTTTTATTGAAACTATTTTTGTCAAATATATTATTTTTTCCACCGACAAAAATAGTCATCATTTATTCTTTAGAACCCCACAAATTAATTAATCATTTTGGCAATACACTAATGCCAAATTTTTATTCTATTAAGTCACTATCAAGTAGTCTAATCAAATAACAACTATATTGGTAAGAAAATCAGAATAAAGACAGATATATTTATTCCAAAATCTAGGAGTTTGAATCAAGAATAATAATCCAAAATTTAAATAACTACCATGATAGTGACAACAGCTTGATTAACAAGAGCTTAATTAGTTAATATCATGCTTATTATATAATTAAATTAAAAATAACATTAGTATAATGTTTTTTTAGTGGAATAATTAGCCGACACTATTGATTTAAGAGGTTACCATTATGTTTTTTAGCGGAAACAATTAATTAGCCAAAAACATTATAGGTTTATAGTTTGTTAGACACATAAATAATGAATTAGTTTGTACTACCTTCGTCACAAATTAAGTATCACTTTTTTAGAGTTAATTTAATTATTTGAATGGAATAAATAGTTGTAATTCTTCTTATGTCTATACGATGAAAACTGAAACTTTTTAAACGTAATCAAAAGCTTATATAGTTTGAAGTTCCAAAAAAAAAAAACGACAGATATTTTGGGACAAAAGGAGTAGTTCAAAACGTAAGTAAAATTTAATTATTTATTTTTTGTTTTGTTAGGTTACAACATCGGAAGGATATAATTAGGTAAACCAATTTGTGGATAACTACGATGTCCATATTATTATTATTATTTTGGGGTATTTTAAGAAGTGGAACATTTGCTATTATCTAGAACATGAACCTAATTTTGGATCGTTTTAGGGTTTAACGATTCTTTCTAGTATATTTCAATATTTGTAATATTATTTCTTGGAAATATGATTAGTATCTATGAGAACAAGAAAAGAATCAAAACTGACATCTTTGTTTATTGTTTAAAAAGGAAGAGATTTAGATTCGCGGTGGCGGAATTAGTTGAGCAGGTGATCTTTCAAATACGAAGCTGCAGAGTCTTCAGTTTGAAATCCTCCACATACCTTTCATAGTTAAATTAGGTGAGCAGGTGATCCTTCAAATAGGAAGTCGCATAGGAAGTCATAGAGTCTCAGGTTCGATATCCTCTACATACTTTTCCTGGCTGAATTAGTTGAACAGGTGAACTTTCAAATAGGAAGTCGCGGAGTTTCAAGTTCAAAATCCTCCACATACTTTTTCTAGCTAAAATGGTTGAGCAGTTGTTCCTTCAAATAGGAAGTCGCAGAGTCTTAGGTTCGATATCCTCTGCATTATTTTTCTGGCTGAATTAATTGAACATGTGAACTTTCAAATAGGAAGTCGCGGAGTCTAAGTTCAAAATCCTCCGCATAGTTTTTCTAGCTGAATTGGTTGAACATGTGATCTTTTAAATAGAAAGTCGCAGAGTCTTAGGTTCGAAATCCTCCGCATACTTTTTCTGACTAAATTGATCAAGTAGGTGATCTTTTGAATAAGAAGTCGCAGAGTCTCAGGTTCAAAATCCTCTACCTGTGTTTTTAATTGAACTCATCACACGAGACTTATCTACCACAATTTATGAACTATTACACTAAGACAAAATCTAACCTTGTGCACACTCGAAAATGTTTCTTTGTCAACAAACGAAAAGGACGAGATTTAGATTGTGACAATAATTAAAATTTCAATAAATAATATTAATGAGCAATTAGGTTCGAATTTATACTACTTCCCCCCCCCCCCCCCCCGCCCCCCGCCCCAATTAAATTAATTAATTATTCGTCCAACTAAATATATTCTAATATTTCACTTTTCAGAGGATGATTCCTATAACCACAGCAACAATACCAAGAACAACAGTAAAATGTTGGGTGAAACAGTTAGGAAAAATTTTACAATAAATTTTTTTTAAGTTATATATAATATAGACATAGTATTTTGTCCTTGTCTTTTAATTTCTTTATTATACAAATAAACCACTAATTACAACTTTGTTATTCTTAATTAATATTTTTTTTAGTAAGATTCCCTAAGTAATTAACCTTGGCTTTGTGCCTTTTTCAAGGTTTCAACTTTTTATTTTTGGACACATTTGTGCATGGTGAAGATGTAGTTAATCTCTGATCTAAAATTAACCCAATCTTAATCATTACTAAATAAAATTATATTTACTTTGATAATTTTAAACTTCATATAATTGCTGAAAAAATATATAATAATCCAAAAAATTGCAACCAAAAATAAAAGTGAGTATGTAGTTATTTATTCAAAAATATTGACTGATGCACATCGAGCCTCCAAATACATTGCATTCTTGGAAAATCCATGTATGGTAGGCCACACAATTAAAACAAAAGATTAATCAAGTTAGGCACTTTTAGTTCTAATATTCTTATTATTTATATAATAAAAGAAATATTTGTACCTACTTGAAAATGTCTCCTTCATTAAATATGAAAACACTAGAGTAATTAAATACAACTTGACTATCTTTAATTCTCTTAACTACTTATAATTAACGTCAAAGAGTTGATTCAAATGGTCAAGTAGGATTATCTAGTAAACTCACTAGTCCCAATAATAGATCACACGTCTTCACTCCTTTGAGTCAAGCTCACCATTCTCAAGACTTTTTTTAAAAAAAAAAAAAATCATCCTTAGTATGTGGTGGGACGATAAAAATTCTTTTATTCATAATCATAAATCTCAAATTTTGCTAAAGAAATGAATCTTATGTCTAATTCAATTCTCGTGAGATGAGGATTATCAAAAATTATACACATGGGTATATAATTTTCAATTCAATTGATATAGGACTCGACACCCTCTATATGCTTAGGATTGCATGCACATCAATCTGGAGTAAGGATAATATAAAATGGGGCAATATCTAGTTAGAAAAAAATTGAAATAATCTTGATTCTGATATCATGATTAAAAATAAATGAAT